GGCGTATCTTAAGAGCTTGATAAATGCTTATTTGTTATTGTTACCTTTAATCCTCTGAAGTCAACATTGGTCATTGCTTTGATCAGAGCTCTGATATCTTTCAAGGTCATCTTCCTTATGCTATTATGGTTATTGTATAAATGATTTTCCTGGTTCTGCTTCCTTTGCTACATGTTGGTCTGTACAAATCTTATTCAAGTTGCTCTTAATTCTTCATATTTGTAGTTTCTTGTGGTTCAAATCATATTCGTGTGCCATAATTTGTTCATTCATTCCCCAAATGACAGGCATCTTGTCCTTTGTTATAAGAAAAGGTGCTGAAATATATATATATATATATATATATATATATATATATATATATATATGTGTATATATATATATATAATGTGTATATGTGTGTATATATGTATGTATGTATGTATACACACACACACACACACACACATTTGTATATTTGCAAGACTCTTTGTTCCACAGAAGTGGACTCCACAGTGAATGCTCTTCACATTAAATAAGACGTTGCACTGAATTTCCTAAGGAGTTTAACTAATTAACTAGAGAAACTCTCAAGTTAGAGAAAAACTAGATGAAATCACATGCCTCAGAAATGTAAACATCTGAGAGGAATAAGACCCTGTTTGCCTCAGTTTCCTCATCTGTAAAATGACTGGAGAAGGAAATGGCAAACCACTCTAGCATCTTTGGGTCATGAATGGCATCATGAAGAGTTGGACGTGATTAAAATGAGTGAACAACAAGAAGCCATTTTATTTAGATAATGGTAACAACAATTCTAACAATTTAATTCAAATTTTTATGGGTAAAGAGAATTTTTCTACAAAAGAAGCTAACATGATAGGACTTTGTTAAAGACTGCAAATAGCATGTTGTAGGTGAGAGAATGTACAATCTTCATTTTTTAAACTGTATTCCTGGTCATTGGAAGCCAGGATTAGCAACTTTTCAAAGCTTTGAGTAGAAAATAACTGATATTTCTATAATAATTTTTAAACAATTAAGTAATTAAACAAATTAAACAATTGATTAAACGAATGTCACCTGAGTTAACTGATTTGACCCTCACAACAATCCTGTGAGGTAGGTACTATTATCCCCCATTTTAGAGATGGGGAAGCTGAGGTAGACAGAAGTGGGGTGATGACAAAGGATTGCACGAGCATAGATCCAAAGCTGAAAGTAATCTCAGTCTAGCCCTCTCATTTTACAGGTGAGGAAACTGAGGCCCATAGAAGTTAATGACTCGCTTGAAGTCACATAGGTAGCAAGTATCAAAGGGAAGATCTTAGGGTTATAACTCTAGAACTGGAAGGGAACTCAGAATCTGTCTGGTCTAACCTTTTCATATTATAGATGAGGAACCTCAGGTCTAGCGAAGTGTCATGAGTTGCCCAAGGTCACACAGCGAGTAAGTGTCTGAGGTGAGATTCAAGCCCAGGTTTTCCCGACTCCAGGCCTGATGAGCTATTGACTCTACTACATTGCATGATTGGTTAGTAAATGTGACCCAATTCAATGATAGCTCCCCAACACTGCACATCATTTCCTAGTATAAAAAGGATGTAAATAAGGGCTTAGTTTTATTATCAGCAGAGGAAATTTTAAACTGAAGTCCACAGATAACCACTTGTAGTTTACATCCTGAGCAAGTACAGTTTTCTGAGTACCCATAAAGCGTGTGGTGCTGCGGGCGCGGGGCGTAAAGTGCCTTCCAGAAAATAGTGTTCCAAAGAGCCAAAGCCAGCTGAGCAGACTCAGGCAGAAAGGCACTGTTGGCACAAGGAGAGAGGTCAGGAGGAAGTAGATATGGGGACTGGACTAGTCCTAACTTTGTCAACACTGCCTGGGTGATCTTGGGCAAGTAAAGTCAATTCAGTTCAATATAATACAGCACGTATTTCTTAAGCATTTGTGATATGTCTAATAGTAGGCAGGAACTGGAATGGGGGTAGGGAGAGACAGAGACAGAGAATGAGAAGGAGAGGGAGTGAGGAAAGGAGGGAGAAACAGACAGAGACAGAATGCTTATGTAAATAAAGATGTATTTTTCCCATCTAAATTCACAGACTGTGAAATCTCTCCATATACCCATTGAGGATCCATGAATCCCAGATCATGGAGCCCTGATTTAAGGTAAGGAACTTCCCCTACCAATGCAAATGGCTCCTTTTCTGTAATTCACACTCTTAGGATGCGTCAGGGCTTCCTGACTCTTGAGGCCAGCTCCCTATTCACAACAGTGGTCCTCCAAGTGTTGGCTGTGAAATGACCCCAAAATGGGCATGACTTGACTCTAAGGGGTGTGCAATCAATAGATCAGAGGATGGAAGGCTGGCTAACATCTCCTCCTCTGCCATGGCTTATTGTGGGTTTGTCTACAACACCACTAGACCGCCCTCTTCAACACTCTCTCATTCTGCCCCTTCCAAGATTGTATTTATGACCTGAGAAGACCCAGGAATTGGCAATAGCTTGGCACACAGACACACACACACAGACACACACAGACACACACACACACACACACACGCATACACACTTTTCATTTTTTGGTAGGAAAGAATGAATAGCATTAGATAAACAATATTTCCCATTAAACTCATCCTTTTTCTGAACTTTCCTGTTCTATGTGGGTGCTGCCATCTTTCCAGTTTTCCAGGTTACTCCTTACTCAGCTGAAATTGCCTTCTCTTAAGTGACAAATGATTGCTTAATTACCAAATCTGATACTTTATTTCCTCAGTTTTAATTCTTCTTTTTTACCTATCTGCAGCATTTGCCACTACTGCTATACTCTGTTCTTGGAGACTTACCCTCTCACCTCTGGGTTGCCATAAAACTACTCTTTCTTGGTTCTCTTCCTACTCAACTGATCTCTCCTTGGTGGCTCATCATGTTATGCCCCTTAACTCTGGGCATACTCCAAGGTTCTAGCTTGGGTCTCTTCTTTTTTGTCTACACTCTTTCATTAGCTCTCATTGGCTTACCTATTATCTCTGCACACATGATTTCCAGGTCTACATATCGAGTGCCAGTCTGTCTCCTGATCTTCAGCATCATGTCACCAACTGAGTTTTGGATACTGTTAACTGGATGTCACCTAGGCATCTCAAACTCAACCTGCCTAAAACAGAACATGTGCTGATCCCTTCCCAAACCCATTTCTTTTTCCCGGCTTTCTTGTTTCTGTTGAGTGACTACTGTCCTTTCCATCACCCAGGTTATTCATAATTCCTCACTTTCCCTCATTCATATCAAACCAGTTGCCAGATCTAGTCATTTTTACCTCAATAACATCTCAGGCTTCTGTGTCCGTTCTACACACATAGCTTCTACCCCAGTTTAAGCCCTGATTACCTCTCTCCTGGACTATTCCAGTAGCTTCCCAATTGTTCTCCCCTCCTTCCTTTCTCCTAAGTCATCTTCTCAATAGTTGCCTTGTTTTCTGGACCAGCGACCATGCCTTGAATGCTTTGGCCCTTTGATTTCTTGGAGCCACCACTGTGGGAACCATGTCCCATTGGTAACTGCTTCATTTGAGCCACTATTTTAGACAGTCCCCATCTACATTTCACTTCACTCCTTACTCTCTGGCTACCTTCTTGTCAACCACCTTGCTCTAGTATCTTTGCTTCCCCCCACCCCTACCTCTCCCCCAGCCTCCTTTTGGTTCTGGAACTATAATCAAAGGAGTATGTCCAGGCTGTTCCTTCTATACCCTCATCTCCACTTAGCTGCTAAAAGGATTTTTTCAAAGCTTAAGTCTGACCATCTCCCTGTCCTACTCAATAAACTCCCTTTGAGTCCAGGATCAAACACTATTTTGGGAAATTTTGGTAATGTATGTAAGGATTAATATAGTAACCCATGAATATAATTTATGACTAAGTAAATGAACAAATATTGAGGACGTGTGCTCATTTAAAAAAATTATAGCAGTACACAATCAAAAGTTTTGAGGATGCTATATTACAGCTCATTTCCTACCTTTGCTCTCCTGCCCTCCTCACTGTCTTTGTTACTTCCACTCAGATGCATTCAGTTGTATCTCTGCTGTCCCTATTCTTTAAATTTTCTAGGCTGGTACTAGATCTGAAATGTTCCTTAGGTAATTTTATAATTTTTTTTTTTTTACTAAGTAACTATTATGCATAAAGTGAGATGCATCATGACCAGGTGGCTAGGGGGTTCATCTTAGAATCAGGAAGAACCAGGTTTAAGGCTGACACATACCACCTGGGAGCCTCTGGGCAAGGTGTATGCCCTTCAATGAGAATGTTTCTGGATGTTCTAGTGAAAACAGACATGTTCTCCTGTCCCATTATAGCCTGGCATTGGCCATCAGCAGATTAATTCCCTACAAATGCCAACTCCAGGGATCCATCTGAAGGGATCTGGAAGGCTTAGGTCTTTTTAAAGACAGAAGCAGTAATTGGAGTTTAGATTTTAAAAATGACAGAAAATTGCATTTCTTAAGGAGTGAAATAATGCTTAGAAGCATTAAATTATTTAATTATGCCTGAAGAAGCTTTTTTTAAAAATGAAATTTGACAGAGCTAAGTGTGTTGGGGGTACAAGTTTGGAGAAAGCAATCATAAAAATAAGGGGGGAGGTGAAGGCAAAATAAATTTGGAAAAGTTTTCTCCCTCATTACCCACAGGCAAAACTAATCATGAACACCCTTCTATCTAGCATTTGCTAGGTCTTTGACTTGGAAATCAAACAATTTTGTTCATCACTGAGGCTTAATAATGTCTAGGGAACAGTCCACTTTGAGTATCAAGATTTATTAGTTTAATAACTCTTAGCCATCATATACGAGCTCTTTGGTCTACAGTGCAGCTAATGCTCAGTGTCCAATGCATGTTTATTACATAACAATTGAAGAAAATTAATATTATGCTGTATCATTTAATAATTAATATTACTCTGTAATCCATCCTTTTCCCCATTTTGCCAAAACTCTGTTTCTCAGTCCAGCTCACAGGGCTTGGTGGAGTAATTGTGATCACTCTTAGCTCCCAGGGCACTGGCTAGATAACCAGTTTAAGTGGAATCCTTGCTTCTATTTACAGATAAACAGAGAACCAGTTTGAGCTAGGCCCTCCTCAGAGGACAGCTCTCCTGTTCTCTGTCTTGTTAAAATTAGGGGTGATTCGGTCTCTGAGGGGGAGGCCAGATTGGGAGGGGATGGTTCTGATTTTCTGGCCAAGATTATAAGAGGCAGCTGGGGCCCATGAAGCAAGTTAGCATTCCTCAATTGTCAGAGAGGCGCATTATCAGCCATATGTGAAGTCACACCACTACAACTACAGACTAATCCCATCACCTGAGAGTTACTCCCATACCCTAAAGAGGAAGTAATAATAGGGAGGAGTTTAGGTAACTCTTAACTCACATCCTCATTAAAATGTCTACCAATTGGGATTGTCTCACCTTTGCCAGGGGAGGTCCAAATGATGTACTTTCAGGCCAGTCAGAAGGAAGACATACCTATGTTTAAAGAAAGGACATTGACCCAGTTTATTGGTTGTCTAATAAATCGATCCTGTTCAGGTCCGTGGGTTTTTGGCTGAGATGATCAGCATGACCCATTTCACTAACAATTGTCACATTGTTAATAAACTATTATCTTGCCCTGGAGAAAACCATGTCAGGCCACCTTTGTTGCAATTTTGCTCATCACACAATGTAAGCCTCTGCATTACAGAGCAGGGAGTATTTTTTATTAGTTATTATTTTTCTCTTTTCTTTTGGACTGCCAGCGTCTTGCATTCAGTACGTGCTCAATAAATGCTTATTGAGTTGAATTCAATCTTCTAATTGAAAATGGAGTCACAAAATTTCAAATGTGTCTGTACTTCCAAATGCTTTCTTCAGAATGGTTCTTGTCTTACTAACAGACACCAGGCTTCAAAGGGGTTATTCGCCATTTTCAAGCCCTCGTGCCCGCTCCTCAACTTTTCTTTAAACTGAATAGAGGCTGGCTTAGTCAGAGCAGCATGTAAAATCCCCTTCATCAAACCAACCCTTGTCCAGGATGAAGTTTCTTTTATTGTGCCAATAGTGGCTGACTTGTCTTTTTGCCATGCGATGATTTAAAAATGCATGATTTAGGGGCTGGAAAGAGAACCTGTTTCTCGACAGCATCCCCTGGGCACTGCCATTCTTGCAGTTGGGCCTTTTGCCCTCCCTATGTTGGCAACCACCATCTATCTAGCCTACTGCTCAGATCTTTCCCAGAACAGATGGTTGTTTTTACTAGTCAAGACCCAATCTGGTGATTCACTTTAATAGGCTTTGGACGAAAGAATGCCCATGACAAGGCAAGGGAGATTGTTTTCCTGCAGCAAAATTTTCCAAGAAGGAAAAAAGTCAAGTCGACACCCCCACTAGCCAGTCCCCTCTTCTTTCCCCCCCATTCCATTTTACGTGCCCCATAAATCAGAATATTTGTCAACAACAATTAAAATGTTGTTTCCCTGGCAATAAACATTACCAGGAGAAACAAATCAACTGTCATTTATTCTGTCAGAAACCGAAAGGGAAGCGCTATAAATTATTCGGTGGATAATCTCTGTGGAATAAACTAAGCGCAATTACATTCTCAATTTTAATTAAAACTCTGGGTACCTTTCGAGTTCTGTTAGGGAGACGTCCTGGGCCTGCTCAGTAGCTGAGGGCTGGGCTGAGAAGTTAATTCGACACGTAACATATTTTTCACGAGGTAACTGTTGCAGGAAGCTGTTGGTAAGAGCTGCCTTCCCTGAGCCTTTGGGACCCACAAAAAAGTAACGGTGTATCCTAGAGCAGCAACTTCGGTAGGAAGTACATCTGCATAGTGATCCCAGAGGTCCTTCCAATAATGTCATTAAGCCCTGAACATAAAAGCAAACAGGAGCTGAAGATGCCATTAAAAAAATGTTTCATTGCTCAACATGCCCAGAACAACAATAGAACGGAATCGTAAAATTATTTCAAATCACAATAAAGAAGCCAAACTATTCTCCAAAACCTGGAGAGGATGGAGGCAGCCTGTTAATGATTAGTGGCGAGCTAGGGCTAAGAAGAAGAACTGATGCAGAAGGGGAAGGGGGACCGAGGATTTCGGTTTGCTCTTTAAGAAGATGGCATTATATAGGGATGGACCTTGGTATCATTACTGGTTTGTTTTTACATGACTTGGCATGAGGTAGGCTTAATGCTTGGCTGGTTTCTATTTGACTATACTTTTGCTTTATCATAAGGAAACAAGGAATTGACTGTTATTTCTCTTCCTTGGTGATACATTGTCTAGCTCTTCAATTGTGTCACAATATTTTGCATTTTAGCTAGGAGGGTTTTTATTCTTTATTCCACATAGTAATGAGAGGAGCAGAGCAGACTCACATTCATTTGTGTTTGCTGGTGGGGTTTGTGTGTACCTGAATATTTTATTTTAAAAAATTTTCAAGCATTAATTATATTTTCCTTCCACTTTGTGCCACCCCCCTCAAGTGAACAATTTTAGAAAAGCAAAAGAAAATCCTTGCAGCAAGCACAACTAGGCCAACAGAACTGATTCTCACATTGGCTGTGTCCCAAGATACACATCTCATCCTTCATTTTAAATCCATGTTCTTCCTGGAAAGAGGGGTGTAGTGCCTTTAATTTTCTATCCTTTGGGTTCATGGTTTATCATTGTTTTCATTGGAGTTTTCAAGTCTTTCAAAGTTGCTTTCCTTTATAATGTTGTTGTCATTGTTCTATATATCTATATGTATATATAATATAAGTAACACGTGTGTATATTATGTATACATGTGTGTATATACACATATAGGGAACGCACATAGATAAATAAACAGAAACATACATATATACATATACATGCCTATACATACATACATACATATAGGCATATATACACATACAAACATGTATGTATGCACATGCATATGGAAAAAGGAGTTCCCACTGGGAGATTAAATATGGTAAAATCTCATCTCTCATTCAAAAAAACTCTACCTCACATGGTCATTATGAGATTCAAATGACTTCATGCAGATAAACACACATACACATACACACACTTATATACATATATGTCTATTATGATTATTAATCTGAAACAGAGCATTTTGGAAAATCCTAGACTTTAGAACCATGAGGGATCTTAGAGATCATCTAGTCCAGGTACTTCATTTTACAGACAAGGTGACTGTCTATGATAATAGACTTAGAATGGGAAGAGATCTTAGGGTTCACTTAGTCCAGCCCTTCTATTTTAGAAAATAGAAAGTGAGAATTTAAGTTATTTGTCTTGGGCAATGGAACTTTTAAGAGGCAGAGCCAGGATTCAAACTCAGGTTCTTTGACCCCACCTCTTTCTAATGTACCCCCTAAAGTTATAAAAAAAATGAGATGGAGAGAGATTGAAGGTCTTACTCAGGGTCACTCAGGTCATAAGTGGTGTGATGGGGATTCAATCAAACTCAGATCCTGTCACTTTAATTTCACTGCTGCTGGTTTACCATCTCACCTAAGGATGGAGCCTGTAAATGGCAAAGTCTGGGAGAGGTCCCAGATCTCCTGACCTTTGAATACATGCTTTCCATTACAGCAAACCAGGGTGTTTCCATTTTATACAAGGTGTTATTTTTCTCTGTACTCTTACATCTTGCACTCATGTCAATATGCTAGTACTTTTTGAGCCCGAAAGGGAAATGTACAATTTTAATCATATTCCTCCCTCTCCCAACTTCTCCAAGGTCCTGAAAGTTAATTTACTTGTAACAACAATTTCTATAACACTTTAAGGCTTGCAAACCTGGACCTGGAGTCAGACTCTCATGGGTTGGAATATCTCATTTGATCCTCCCAACAACTATAGGAGGTTTATTACTACAATCCTTTCCCCCATTTCACAGATGAGCAAACTGAGGCTCAAGAACATTATCTAGATTGCCCATAGTTATACTGCTAGTGTCAGAAAGGGAAATTTGAACCCAGGTCTTCCTGATTCCAAGGCACAGCATTGTATCCATTATTGCATTCCTTGATTCCCAAGTTGATTTTGCAAACTCATAAACAGATTGTCACACTGTTCTTTGGCTTTATATTGTGTATCGTTAAAAGGGTATGCAAGTTGTGGCTCAAAGCCCATTTGTAACCCTGGTGGGGATATATAACAATGCTCCAAGTAGGGGTGAGGGTCAGAGCTGGTGAGAGTTTGAGAGAAGAGGGATCTTAGTCTTCTGGCTTCCAGCTTCAAAAAAGAAGACACATGACTTTAGGGTCTCTTTGGGTCCCAGAAAGAAGGCAAAGGCTATTAGAAGTCAATGTTCCCATACTAGAGACTTCAGGGAATTTCCCCTTTAGAGTGAGATTCTGTCTGTCTGTTTCTCTGTCTCTCCCATCTCCCCGCGCCCCCCCTTCTCTCCCATCTCTCTCCCTATCTCTCTTTCTCTCTCAGTCTGTCTGTCTCTCTCTGTGTGTCTCTGTCTCACTCTTTGTCTGTCTGACTCTGTGTCCGTCTCTGTTTCCATCTCTGTCTCTCTTTCTCTGTCTCTGTCTGTCTCTCTGTCTCCCTTTCCCTCACCTCTATCCTCTCTCCTCTTCTCTCTGTTTCCCCTCCCCTCTCTTCTCCTCTTCTCCTTCTCTTCATCCCTCTTTCTCCCTCTACCTGTAATCTTTCATCCTTTAATATACTTTTTATCCATTTTCCTTCTAGGAGTTTATCTCTAAGAAATTTTGGAGGCAGAAGCTATTATTATTTTCATTTTACAGATGAAACAGAGAGGTTAAGTGACTTGCCCAGGGTCACCTAGCTAGTAAGTGTTGGAGGCTGGATTTGAACTCAGACCTTCTTGACTCTAGGCCTAGCGCTCTAGCCACTGTGCCATCTACCTACCACTTGTAATACATGACCTTATGGCTTCTGAGGTCCCTTACCACTTTACATCTCTGATCCTAAAATTCCATAACTTCTCAGATCATGTCCTTCATTGGGTTTGAATCTGAAGATCATATCATTATCTCTCTCTGCTCAAGGAGGACAGAAGACTAGAAAGTTTTGTTGAATTATAGTACTCTATCTCTAGTCCAGGAGTGATTCAGTGTGGAGAATGCTGGGCTGGGAGTCAAGAAGACCCGAGTTCAAATCTAGCCTCAGACATGTATGACTCTGGGCAAGTCACTTAATCCTACTTGCCTCAGTTTCCTCATCTGTAAAATGAGCTGGAGAAGGAAATGGCAAACCACTCCAAGAAAGCCCCAAATGGGGTCATAGAGAGTCAGATGTGACTGAAAACTACTGAAAAACAACAAGCACACTAGTATTGGTTCTGACCACTAGAGCAGGACCAGGCTAATCTTTCTTCTGCTCACTAGCTTTCCTCTCCTGCCTCCTTCTTCATCTCTCAGGCTCTTGGCCCAGACCACTTCAAAAAAACCTTTTTTAATGACATGGATCTGGAGAAGTCTATGACTCCTTCTCAGAATCTTGTATTGAAAGAACTGATGGGAAAGCTAGATTTCAGTTATAGGTTAGTGAAATATGTAATTTCCCTCCTCCATCCTCTGATATAAGAACACTTATTCTAAGGGAATGGAGGGAATATGTGTCAATCAAAATATATATCATTGAAAAAGTCACAGTGGTAAAGTACAATTCTACTGAATCAAGGAAGGATTACAATTCTGATCCCCCTGTCTGGTCACAAACGCTTTACTTGAAGCGGAAAACAGTACACCATCACTCCCACCTGGTAGTTGAAGACAGGCAGAGGTATGAGCTTAATTCAATCAGAATCTAAGGGCACTCAGGGTCAAGTTTCACAAGTCCTTCATTGGGCTGTTGGTGATGGCTACTGGCCACCCCGCTGCTAAGTTATGGGTAGTCTTCCCTTGCCTCAAACCCTGCCCTGCACTCTAGAGTAGCCCGCTTCTCTGTTGGCAGCCAGGGAACAGCTTTGAAATGTGTTCTTTGTCTCCTGGAAAGGAGTTCACTTTGGGTGGAAGTCTGACTCCATTTTTGAATAGAAACAAAAAGATGCTATCAAAAATAAAAGAATGAAAAGTTAGACAGAAATCCTATTGACTATTAGAGAGATAATAGGCAAGGGTTGAGGTTTAGAATGTAATCAGAATGACCTTTTCCTTCAGAGAAGGGGGATACCTCCTGGATTTTTGCAATATGAAAGACTATTTGAAGATCTTCTGCATATGTATATAAAAAAATAAAGTTATTGCCCCAGTTCCACTGAGAAATGAGAAGGGGACTATGGGCAAATAATGTAGGAAAGAATATGATACTGTTGTCTTTCCTTGAATTTCGCCCTTTTGATAGGTGTGTGTATGGGAGGTAAATAGGCACCATGTGCCATCCGATGCACACGCCATGTCAAATGAGGCCATGTCAATTTCAGAACTTGAAAAAGTCAGGCAGGTGCCAGAGTGCCCTGGGAAATCCATTGCATTGGCTGACACCTGCAGTCTGCCACTGAACTGAGGTATGGAGTGCAGGTAGCATGTCCTAGTGGCTAACCAGTCACTACAGGGAAAACCAAAAAAGGAGGAAATCTTTTAGCTGAATCTCTTGTTACTGCTTGGGGTGTATCAGGATGACACAGATACTGTCTGGGACCATATGGTTTGGAATTTCGAAATGCTGCTTTCCTGTTCTCTTACCTACTCACTCAGCTACACACAAAATTAATGTTATTGTTCAGTTGTATCTGACTCTTTTTGACCCTTTGTGACTCCATTTGGATTTTCTTGGCAAAGATACTGGAGTGCTTTGCCATTTCCTTCTCCAGCTCATTTTATAGATGAGGAAACTGAGGCAACCAAGGATAAGTGACTTGTCCAAGGTCACACAGCTAGTCAATGT